GACTTGTCTTGAAAAAGTAAAAGACTTGTCTTGAAACAATAAAAGACTTGTCTTGAAAAAGTAAAAGACTTGTCTTGAAACAATGACCGACATAGACCCAGCAGATGAGGCAATCTACCTTATAGAGCTACCTGAGCCATCTTTGGTGTCAAGCTTGAAAAATAAATGGCTCATTTACTCTGCTTGTTTGAAGTTGTCAAAATACTCTGTTATTTTTTCCTTTAACAATGGCAAATCTTCTTTGAAGGTAAGTATTGTACAACCTTTAATATCATAGTGTGTTTGAGGTAACGTATCTTGAACTATTTGTTTCACATCTTCATTCGGTGTCATTGAAATCGGTAAGTTTTCGCGATAGAACCAATTTCTGTCAGATTTGTAAATCTTAGCAAGGTCGTAAAAGCTTTTGTTGTTTCTTCTGACTAAATGCAACATAACCATATCTCTGTCTTCTTCATTTTCCATCTCTTCAGTATAAATCATATACTTATAGTTCTTTTCCTTTCCTTTTGGTACCGAACGTGGTATTCTTTTCTGAATGCTTTTGTCTTTTGCTTCAAGCTTGTTTTCCATCTCTTCACGTTCTTGTCTATGAATTTCATCTAACATCATGAAAATATAACAAGCGTAACGAGGTGAAGCCCACATTGCTACAGCATTTACAAGAAGTCTATGAACATACCAACCTCTCAAACCAGGAGCCAAATTCTTGCGATTTTCGTACGGAATCTCTACCCTCGGTTTTCCGAGGGTAGCAAACATATGAGGAAATTCTTCTAAAAGTTCTTTTGTCTGTTGGTTTTCAAACCAATGATATGCTTGCTTTGTAGAACGAAGAGCATTCAAAATACTTTGCATTTGGTACATATCGTCTTTGACCGAACGAATGAGACGTAACTGTTTGTTATACTGTATGTACTCGTATTCTTCATTTATAGCTTCATGGACTATAACTGTTGTTGTGTTCTCTGATGTTGACATATCTGTCTTTATATTCCGGATAAAAAAATAAATAAAAATAAAACTAACTTTATTTTTTCTATCTTAAGGAAATTCATGAAATTTCATACGGAATTCAATAAAAATAATGTTTATGTTAGAATGTTAGATCTAACATGTTTTCTAACATGTTTTCTAACCTCTTTTCTAACCTCATGAATTTTCATGATTTCTTCGTACATGTTTTGTCAAACATGAACGTAAATGTTTTGTCAAGACTTCTTCGTAATGAGCGTAAATCAGACAAAAATAATGTTTATGTTAGAATGTTAGATCTAACATGTTTTCTAACATGTTTTCTAACATGGTCTAAAACATACAAAACTCATGAAATTTCATACGGAATTCAATAAAAATAATGTTTATGTTAGAATGTTAGATCTAACATGTTTTCTAACATGTTTTCTAACATAACTATTTACAAGCGTTTTACATGGTATATGTTGCGATGGTTCATGACTCTAAACAATTTCGTAGCTTCTATTTCTTCTGTCAGTATGTCAAAAGTTTTAACGATACCGAAAGTTTCTTTATACTTCTTCTTGACATCTGAAAGAAGGAAATCTTCTGCAGTTGGATAGTTTTTGTTCAGAAATGCTAACATGTCCATTTTATCTTCTGCTGGCTTTTCTGCTTCTTTCTTTAAGTCTGCATAGTCGTTTCTCATACGTTCTATCTCTTTGACGGTAGTAGTATATTCCTCATTGCTGCTTTACATTTAGAACATTGCGGGTTCATTTTTGCGTTATATTCTGAAACCTTACCTGCTAAAACAACTAAGGCGTCAATGGTTTTCTTTAACTCAAAAGTTGCGGGTTTTATCTGTTCATTCCATATCTTACCTCTTCTATCTTTATCTCTTATCTGCCATACACATTCAGCAACTAACGAAACAAAGTTGTCGTAGGTCTTAAACTCCCCAGATTTATATATGTCAGAGATGTTCTTATATACCATGTCGCAATCTTTGTCCATGACTTTGTGGTTGCAATGAAATCCAAGAAACTCATAGTTAACCTTTCGTATGAACTTCTTTATTTCTACTGAGTCAGTTGCTTTGACTTCTATTTCATCGAATTCTGGAATAGTAAGCTTTTGTTGTTGGATTTCAGGTAGTTTAGGCAAATGGTCAATAATATCCTGCATTTCATAAAGATATTCTTCATCTGTTTCATCTTTCGCACTACAGTCTAAATTATTTGTTAAAAGTTCTTGCTTTATCTTCTGGATTTCTGTTTCGAAAGTATATGAAGAAGGAATGAAGCTTTTCATCTCTACCAACATTGACGTAGGATTCATGACTAACGAGTTTGGTGCTGTTGTTGCTAACATGTTCTTACAATAAAAATAAAAAATATTTTTTTTAAAAAACTAACTTTATTTTTTATGTTTTTTGTGAAAGTGTCAAAATTCATGAATTTCGAGAGTTTTCTACGATGTTAGAAAACGTGTTAGAAAACATGTTAGATCTAACATTCTAACATAAACATTATTTTTGGGTCTTTTACGCTCATTACGAAGAAGTCTTGACAAAACATTTACGAAGAAGTCTTGACAAAACATTTACGAAGAAGTCTTGACAAAACATTTACGAAGAAGTCTTGACAAAACATTTACGAAGAAGTCTTGACAAAACATTTACGAAGAAGTCTTGACAAAACATTTACGAAGAAGTCTTGACAAAACATTTACGAAGAAGTCTTGACAAAACATTTACGAAGAAGTCTTGACAAAACATTTACGAAGAAGTCTTGACAAATTCAAGAGTTTTAGACCATGTTAGAAAACATGTTAGAAAACATGTTAGATCTAACATTCTAACATAAACATTATTTTTGCTGAATTCTGTATAAAACTCATGAGTTTTCTACGATGTTAGAAAAGAGGTTAGAAAAGAGGTTAGATCTAACCTTCTACCCTAAATTATATTTTTGTCGAAAAAAATGGTTCATTTACTCACAATATTTTTGTACAAAACGACCCCAAACTTTTAACTTCTTTTCTGCAGCTTCAAATGCTATCTTAGCGAGTTCATATTCTCTAAATTCTCTCTTTAAATCTTCTTGTTCCCATTGGTCTAGTTCGTATGGCGAGTCTCTATAACCATAACATATCTCACGTTCATGTTCTAATTGTTTTTCGCACATTTTTCTAACTTCTTGTTCGAACAAAGGTTTAGCATTCTCCACTGTATCTTCGAGTTCTTCTTCATCTAATTTCTCATGAACTTTCTTGTCTATGGAGTCCATAATTTTTCCAACTGCTATACAATATTTTGGAGAAGCCCACATTGCAATATAGTTTACGAGTCTTGGGTCTACATACATTCCTCTAACCTGTTTGATTTCATCCGGAATTCCTGCATGAATTTTGTATAAAAAGCAACCCGCCGTTTTCCGCGGGTTGGTATATTCTTCACAAAATGCCTTAAAATACTCTTCCCAGGACTTATTTTCCAACAACCTTCTAAAGTCTTTCCTAAACTGCTGACACATCTTTGTTGCATTTATATAACCATCCTTGTCTCTACGTAAGACTTCAATACCGTTGTAAGTGCCTTTTGTGAATGTTTCGCCATTAGATTTGTTCGTGAACGTTTTTGCTTCGACTGACATTACTGTTCTTACAATAAAAATAAAAAAATATTTTTTGGTGGGACGTCGGACATTGTTCTGAAAAAGTACAAATATTGTCTTGAAACAGTACAAGTATTGTTCTGAAGCAGTGCAAATATTGTTCTGAAACAGTGCAAATATTGTTCTGAAACAGTGCAAATATTGTTCTGAAACAGTACAAATATTGTTCTGAAAAAGTACAAGTATTGTTCTGAAACAGAAAATTTTTCTCACAAATTGAGAGCTTTTACGGGAAATTTGTTCTGAAAAAGTACAAGTATTGTTCTGAAAAAGTACAAGTATTGCTCTGAAAAAGTACAAGTATTGCTCTGAAACAGTACAAGTATTGTTCTGAAAAAGTACAAATATTGTTCTGAAGCAGTACAAGTATTGTTCTGAAAAAGTACAAATATTGTTCTGAAGCAGTACAATGGACAACATCGAGCCACATTCAGTACTTTTTCAGCACTTTTCCGTAGTTGTATATGAAAGACAATTCGAGATAAAAGTCATAGTACAGTGGAATAATATGCTGCACACCGTTTGTTGTGAACCAAATTTGAAAGTCAGAGAAACTGTTACTAGGTGGTTCGTAGAATTTAGAAGCAAAGTCATAAAAGTCCTTACCGATACAAAGAAAACTGTTGTTGCTTGAACTGAAACTTGCATGACACATAACATTTTGAGGGTCAAACACATTTCTATAAACTGTCAAATCTGTTGGTGGGCGTATAAATTTAAACGGACCGTCAGGTGGTAATGGTTCGTTCTGGTTTAGTAACCGAAGAAATTGTGCCCAAGAACGTTTGTCTACTTCCCAAAATAAAAACTGTGTATCTCTTGGAGGGTTATTTTCAATCCTTTGAAATGAAACTGTGGAGTTCATCTTGTCATATTCTAGCTTCAGATAGTATGTTCCATTTAGTAAAGAATCGTATTTTTCTTGAAATTCCCAGTAGTATTTGTTTATTTGAGTTTGAAAGTCATTTAGAGTCTTCTCAAGGTTTTCGTCTGAACGAATTGTAAAGATTCTCATTTCATCAAATTTGTCTATTAGACCATCAGAACCTCTATATTGCCCATGAAAATATACTGCGAACATAAAAGCGTTAGTTCTTTTTGAAAACAAAACTCTTCTAAATCCTATTGCCTTTGCATCTGAAGGACTTTGAAGCCAACGAATTGGATAGTCAAACCTGTATGAACGGGATGAAATTTCTTCATCTGAAATATTTCTACCGGCATTTGTAAAGATATAGTCTAACGGTTTTGTATCTGCTACTTTTGTTCTTTGTTTTTCAACCTGAAACATTTAATATATGTAAAAATATACTGTTTTAAAAAATGTTTTAAAATGGTATGCAATGTTTTACTTCATGCAATGTTTTACTTCATGCAATGTTTTATTTCTGTGCCGTCTTCAAGCACACCCCAGTACTTACGCTTGGAGAGGACATGAACTTCGGAAAATACCTTATCTAGCTTAAAACAGCCCATCTTTTCACCGACCATTCCCAATTCAATGAGTTTGTTATACCCTTCTTCGTTCGTCATGAGTGCGTCGATGTTCTCATAGTAAACCTTGACTTTGGATTTGACTTCGGAGAAGAATTTGTTGTAGTTGTCAAGGACTGCTTTTGCGAACTGAGGGTAAGACCAATGTTCGACAATAGGTTTTAATGTGGTTACTAAGCCACTTTGACCTTGAGTGAATTCGTACTTCAAAACAAAAGGAGAAAACCTTTCAACAAAGTTGTCGACCTTCTCATAATGTTTACTCTTCATCTCTTGAGGTTTCTTAATGGAATATCCCCATGTCGAATTCATAAGCAATTTGAGTGTCATTGCAAGTTTGGGGTTTGAAGCTTTCCTAATATCATACAGTTGTTGTATGACTTTTCCAACTGTATAGTTCCTTCCCGGGAACTCACCATCTTCGTTTGGAATTCCAGTCGGGATATATTGGACGAACCTCATGTATGCAGCGTTAAGGTCGACATAGTATATCTTTTCATCTGAGTCGAACTTGTCGCAACCAATTGGTCCAGTTTGTGGAAATTCAAGTGAGTCTCTTATCTTCTGAGAAACTTCTCCTGTTATCTCATAAACATCGTCGAAGCAACCTGTTTCATATAAAACCTTCTGAGCTAACTCTGATGCTCTCCAATACAATTTGACGTCGATTGGATTTCTCAATGGAAGTTTGTTTATAGCATCTTGAAGTTCTTGCAACCTCATTGGAAGTTCTTCTGGTTCAGGTTGGTATCCGAACAATCCAACTCCTTTTGGAGCTGTGTACTTCTTTTGTACTAGAACTTTGTCTGGAACAACTTTTGGTCTTGCTAACAATGAAAAGTTTGTTTCGTCTTTTGGTACAAAAGTTTCTGTCAGCTTGTCATCTGGAATTGGTTCCAACAAACCTTTCTCGAAAAGAATGTTAACAGCTCTGACAATGTTACACTTACCTTTTCCGAACAATGGGTTTGTAAGACTTTCGTTCAACATGAAGTGGTTGTGGACAATTACAATCTTCAACCATGGTAAGTCTTTGTCAACAACATAGTCGTCATGTGAAGAACCTTTCTCAGTCGGAATGTTGACTCGGATATTCACATTTGCCAACGGTGCAATTTTTGACAATTGACCTCTGAGCATGTACCTTGTTTTCACACATGACTCAAGATACTTCATCTTCTCATCTGTAACAAGACCAGAGTTCCTGAGACATGTAAGAATACAAGGTTCATTGACAATTTTTTCAATTGAATTGTAAATTCCATACCTTGTCAAGTCAATGTCAGACTTATTTATGAAGGGGAAGTATCCAGCATGTTGTCTGACTGCTTGAGGGTTAGGTTGGTACCATTCGAACTTCACGCTTACAATTCCTTCAATTGCATTCAAAATGTCTGAGTCGGAGTCAACCATTTGTTCTCTCTTTGTAGTCTTGAAAGCGTCAAGAAGCATTGCAGCTGTTGTGACATTGCCATGCGCATAGTATATATGACCATCTAAATCTGTTATGGTCAATCTGAGATTGTATCCTTTCTTATTTCCGTCTTGAATGGCAGCAAGTACTCCCATGAAGCCTTCTTTGTTCTTTCCTTCGTCAAAGTTTACTGTAAAGGTTCGACCAGATGTAATTTGACTTCTAACTTCGCGATACTTTTCATATGCATATCTTGTTCTTTCCATGGGAGCATGACCATCCTCTGCACTACCTTTTTTCCTCCTCAAGGGATACAATTGTTCGTCATGTTTCCAGTAGAATCTGGCAAAGCCGTCTTGTCCTTCAACCTGAGGCTCACTAACATCGAAAGGCATGTTCATAAGACGCTCTTCCTCTAACCTCTCTAGTCTGTTTGGATAATTGGCGCGTGCTGTTTCAAGGTCCATTTCGTAGGTCAGACCAGCCAGTTTGTCATAGACTTTTATGGGTCTTCCCTTCCTATATTTAAACTTCTTTGAAACTTTCCAACCATATCTTTCTAACTCTGCTTTTATTCTAGCAGACCTTCTATCCATTCTATGCGAGGGCATTTTTATAAAAATAAAAAAATGTTTTTACTTTACTTAACATAGCCACCAGCTACCAAAAGTCTTTGACGCCAACCCATACCAGCTAATGAAGGTTGACTTGGTTTAGTCTCCAAACTAAACTTTGGTTTTGGTTTATCTTCAGTTTTTGGTTTTTCTTCTTCTATCGGTTTTTCGTCACTTTTCGGTTCCTCTGACTTTACCTCACTTGCAGGTATGGTTGTGTCGTCAACATCTTCGTAAATATCATATGCCATTTGTTTTTGTTTTCCTTTCAACTTTTTGTGTTTGTTGTAAAGTTTAGAATATTTCGACTCTAAGTCAATGAGATGTTCTATAATGAACTGTTGGTCGGTGAAGTAAACTTTTCCATCTGTTGTCTCATAAACTCCTTCAGACTTCAATATTTTATTTGTGAGAGTCTGTTTCTTTTTTGAGATACTAGCCGTTCCATTTCTATGAAAAGTGACTTTGTAGTTAGGGTTTGTATTTCCAGACCTGGCACTTTCTATTATTGAATTTTTCTCTTCATCTGTAAGTTCTTTGACAGGTTTTGACAATGGTTCTGAACTTTTTGTTTGTGGTGTCAAATCTACCGTTTCAACTTCTTCGGTCATTTCATCTCAGTAAAAATTTTAGTTTGGTTTGTTTTCAACTGGTTGTTTAGGTTTTTTAAGTCGGTCTAAAACTTCCTGAGGTATAGGGAGGACTTGACAAACACGTAGTTTAGCTGCTGGAAGCCGACAAATCCATCTTGAGCCCATTTGTCTCAATGCTGTATTGTTCATTTCATCTCAGTAAAAAAATTTACATTCCCCACGTTTGAGGCGGTTGAGGTTGGTTGTTGTTTACCCACTGTTGTGCATGGTTATATCCTCTGTTAAAGAATCTTTCACCTTGGTCCATATAGTGCCCTGCTTGGTTATAGTAGTCATTTGCTTTGTTATAGTAGTTTCCTGCTTGTCTTCCTACATTGTCCATCCATCCTTGAACTTTTCCTCTTGTTTCAGGATTTGGAATAAGATTTGCTGCATCTCGTGCTACATCCCAACCTTTCTGTACAGTTTGTATAATAGGTTGTGCTTTCTCTTTAAGTATACCTAATGTACTCAAAATCTTCCTTCCAACTCCAAATACACCTCTGGCTATTGTTCCCACTGCGGGTAAAAATCTAGATGCGACTCCTGCTAATGCGCCAAATAAACCCATTTCTTATAGGATAAAAATGACGAATCCAAACAAGGACCCGTATGTTTCTAAGGCAACAAAGAAAGCACTCATGATAAAAATCTTTAGTTCAACACCAAATGCTTGGTTTATGGATATCTTGGAAAACATTCCGAGGTATAGAGAAGATGGACCACCATACTGGCTAATATTTGTTGGTCAAAACACAAGATACTGTGAAGCCATACCATTACAGTCCAAAATATTTTAGATGTGAAAACTGCTTTGACAATATTCGTTGACAAATACCATCCAACTAAACTGACATCTGACTGTGAAAGTTCTTTCAAATCAGACGATATTAAAAACTATCTGCGTTCAAAAAATGTAAACCAATATTTCATTGTCGACCAAAACCATTCTGCTCTTGGTGTCATTGACGGTTGTATAAAAATCTTAAGAGACTTAAACCAACCACAAGGTGGTGAAGCAAATGAAATGTCATATGACGACAAATACAGACATTTCTCCATGGCAAAGATGAGACAAGTTTTAAATATTTACAATACCCGTAAACAAAAAGGTTTGGGAAACCACCCCCGAAGAAATGAAAAACAACCCCGACTTAGAGAAAGACTATATATTTAATAGTTTAGTCAAAAGAGACAAACAAGAAAGAATGCCAGGCTTCAAACTTAAGAAAGGCGACAAAGTAAAAATAGAAATACCTAAACGCGACCCATATGAAAATACTATTGACTATGACAACAATGGGAACTCGACAGGTACTCACGTTCGTGTTCGTAAAAATAGAAGAAAGTATACAAGAGAATATTATGAAGTTTTAGGCAAACATGGCAAAATGTACACACTGCAAGCAGAAGATAAAACTACTATTGTCAGACCTCGTTTCAAACTTGTCAAAGTTCAAGGTGGTATACTTTCAAAGACAGTTCCTAACAAATATAAGACAACTCCTGACGAATATGCTAAAGAAGTTGAAAATGACGACTAAGCAATTCTATACCATGCGTAAACTGTCATGTAAGGTGGCATGTAGTCTTTACTTTGTCCCGTTGTTTGTGTATATCCTGTAACGCGATGTGTATGGTTTCCATCTCCCTGAGTGTCACTCCAGTAACAATTTATAGCAAACTGAACGTCGTCTTTAACATCATATCCTTTACCTTTTTTCAAGGCGTGCCAATCCCAAAATTTATGCTTATGCCAACCTGCTTGAGATGTACTTAAATCTACGTAGTGACTGTGTGCAGGTAAATTTTCACCTGAAATCGTTTTACTTCCACCTGTTTCCTTTGAAGAGTTTGCACAATACAAAAACCTGTCGACTATTTGAGTCCAAGTTCCAAAACCCAGAACTGTTTCTGGTCTGGTAGAGTTCATTGACGTATAAATAGAGCCTATAGGATATACTGTTTGAAGTATTTCTGTCTTTAACGTTTGAAGCTCTGTTTTGTCAGCTTTCTTATCTAACTCATCGTTAACATATGTTTTGTCAGCTTTTTATCTAACTCATCGTTAACATATGTTTTGTCAGCTTTTTATCATATAAATCTTGAGCAGTGAATTTAACTTTTTTTCATCCTCCATGACATAGACATTTCTACATCTAATGTATCTCATCGTTGTTATGTCTTCTTCCGATGTTAAACCTTGTGGAAAGTTAGGAGGTTTCCAATTTAATACATCCCCACCAGTTTCTTCAACCGTTCCTTCAATATTTTCTATACCAACAGTTGCGAAGAAATCGTGTGTATGTCCAACGTCACTTTTCCTGTTTAAGGTTTCTTGTAAGTTTGTAATATCAGATATGGTATGTGTATGAGTCTTTTTTAGAATATTCTTTGTCAGCTCTTGTCACTTCACTTGACATATTTATTGTCAACATATGTTTTATCTGCTTTGTCATCTAACATTGCTGGTAGTTCATCTACGTCATAGATGTTATGTGTATGATGTTTTGTGGGTATGTTCTATCTGTCCATGCGAGAATATAGTCTCTTGTTGCATCTACATACTCTTTGTCAGCTTTGTTGTCAATATCTGCCTTCAAAAGAAGTTCTCTATAGGTTTCTCGTTTAAAGTTCTTTTTGTTGGATTTATACAAACAGTATGGTTCTTACTGTCTTGAAACAGAAACTCGTCTGTCAATGGGTTTATCGTCAGTTTTAAGTTTCCTTCTTTCAATGACTCAGATATCTTAGAATAGTTTGAAAAGTTTGTTGTTTCTTATTTAGAGCTTGCACAATGAGTTGTCGGTTGTGTTGTATTTCTCTCATAGACGCTTGTTTCTTTCGACATTTTTATTCTAGATAAAATATGCTTCCAATAGAAAAAGAAATTCAAGAGTTGCTACAACTAAACCATTAGATGAACTTTTTACTAATGTCGGTCAAAAGTTTGAGACAGAGACCGTAAAGCATGAAGGCTATCGTTTTGACTACCCATTAAGATGGTTAAGAGACCCATCCGTCACAAAAGCTATTGGCTTTCGTAGAATGAAGTTCATTTCAGAAGCCATACATGGTTTCCCATTTACGGTCGCTTTTGAAATTCGATACTATAACAAAGAAAAACATACGTATGAGAAATTTGAACAGGGAAAACTTTTACAAGTTAGTTTGCTTATAAATTTAGAAACAACTCTTCAAGCTTTTCAAGAAAAAATAAACGACATCTATCTCGAATATGCAAAACAGTACAACATTGACGAAGGAGAGTACCATCTCGATATTTTATATGACAGGAAAAATGCAACTGTTAAAATCAATAGAATAGAAGACCTTGGAGAAGACGTTTATTTTCTACAAAATATAACAACTTGGCATGGTATAGATTTTTGAGGATGTTAAATCAGCCTGCAGCATATCCAGTACACCCGGACTTTTATGAAGTCGAAAACCCTAATGGAACATATGAAAATGTTTTCGACTCAGATGCTATTATAGTTCATGCTTCATTTTCTGGTGCACAAAACTCTTTTTTATGCTTGGCAAATGACTTTTACGAAAAACCTACAAAGCTATATGAACCACCGAGTGGAAGTATTTCAGACTTTCAAGTATGGTTTACAACAGATGGAAGAAAAAGAATAATTCCATTATACCATGCGTTTTACTTAGAACTTAGTTTCATATACAACTACTATCGAACGATAAAAATATAATTTTTTAATACGGTTGAGGTGTTGGATTTGGTTGCCAACTTGACTGTGGTGCAGGTTCAGGCTGTTGTATAACAGGAGCTTTTCTTCTGGTTCAGGGTCTTTAGGTATAATACCAACGAACTGACCTACTCTTTTACCAATATTTTTGACTCCGTTCCATACTCCTCTTCCGACAGATTTTATTCCATTCCATATACCTCTTCAACATTTCGAAAGAAGTTTCCAATACTACTGAAGAAACCCATTTTACTATATGTAAAAATCTAATGTCCGCCTAGTCTCTTACGTTTCCTTCTGAGTTCCATAGCATTTTTTAACTGGAGCTCATACATTCTATTTCTCCTCTGGTAGAAAACATACTCTGGGTCAACTCCTGTGTTCGCGTCATCTGCATATAGAGTTGTTTATATCCCACTTCAGGGTTTGTATAAAACTCTTTCCATCTCATATTTGCATACCATGGTGGCAAACCTAACGCAGCGTCATTTGACATGGCAGTTTGCATTTGTACATCTGTTGGCACTTGACCATAGTTTGCCATTGCAGTTTGTATTCTAACTTCATTTGGAATATTCTCTGGGTTTGGTTGTCCAGGTTGCTGTGCATTCGCTAAGTTCTGTGCGTCCATTTAATA